CAGGGCCGCTCGGCCTTGCATGGTGGCCAAGCGCGGGGCTGTCTCCGTGTCTTAAAGGTGGGATACGAGCCTCTTCCGCCAACTCTGGGAAGGAATATTTTTGGACGACAGGTTTACCAGCTGCCGGGTCTCTTTGCTTATGGTGAGTCCGTCTCTGAGCCGCGCGTGTCGATCGTGTCGTGCAATCACATCACGCGCGTCAGGTCTCAGTGACCCGGTGTGAGGGCTTAGAGCTGAGGAGGGAGGGGTTCTTGGTCTGTGGAGTGGGTCTGTCTCGCGTGTAGGGCAGCAGTGGGGCAGAGCTCTTTGGTGTCCTGTATGGTGTGGGTCCCTGTTCTACCAGTGACACAAATGGATCTTCTGGAGCCTCTTCTGGTTGGAGCTGAGGGGTAGCTGCTTGCTTCGCAGGTCCATGGAGATGTTCCTCTCGATAGCATGGGATAAACAGGGGAAACGGTGGGGAAGGGTATGTGGCTCGACAAGTCCTAATGTCCCTGTGAACTTTTTCCCCTTAGCCAAACACATTGTGAAGGTAGATGGAAGAGCAGGACTCTTCAAAGGCCTGACCCCCCGACTCTGCTCCGGAGCCATCGGCACCATTGTGCACAGCAAAGTGCTGCAGGTATCGTGTGCGGTTTGCGTGGGGCGCAGAGCGAGTGGCCCAACCTCACAGGGGGGCCCAACTTCGCGGGCAACAGCTTGTACCCTGCGCTGTTGGTGAGCACACAGCTCGGCCAGACGGCAGCTGCTGGCCCGCACCAGCACGCTGGGGCACTGGCAGGTGGCCTGGGGCCCTGTGAAGCCGTAAGCGTTGGCCCCGTGTGGGGGCTGCGACACCCTGCCGCAGCCCCCGGGCCACACAGGGGGATCGTCTTTGCTTCCCAAGTGGGCTGGGAGCTGGGGCAGCATGACTGCCAAGGCCTTGAAGGCTCTTCCATCCCACCCCATCGTCAGCACGGATCCCCCGTGCCAGTGTGGTGCTGTGACAGCCTGTGCCGGAAGGGCCTTCCCTTGTCCCCCTCTAGCTGTGCTAACTGTACCCTTTTCTCCGTAGCGGTATCAGGAGGCTGAGCAGGCTGAGGTATGTCTGAGACTATTTCTCTTTGTGAATCCTCTCTCCCCTCCCTGGCAGCTGCTCCTTCCAGGCAGGGCTGTGCCCTGTGGGTGTCGGCAAGAGCGGAGGCAGCCCGGAATAGAGCTGGCTTTTAAGCGCTGCTCCCAGAGAAACGCGTAACAGAGAGCCGCGCTGCTGTGCCGCCCGCAGCGTGGGGGACTCTGGCGGAGTCAGGAGGTGGGG